TACCAATACTTTTTGTGCGCAGACTGTAAAATGAGACTGGGGTGGGGTGGGGGGAAAAACCCAAATAAGTTTGCTCGTTTGCAGCGTGTTTATTTCCATGTGCTTAAAAATGTTCATAGGTTGGAGTCTAAGGCTGGAACAAGTATACACCCACAATAAATTACTGTATTTCTAGTCAACAGACTCATGATTTTAGAGAGGAAAATACTGTAAGTGTGTACTCATTTTGTACCTTTCTCTGATCACCTGTTGGCTTAAAATACTCACAGTAGCCCCAGGTTATTATCAAGGCAGATCTTGGAAAAAAAAAAAAAAAAAGAAGTGCTGAAGCATTTTATTATCTGAATGTTCTTTAGCTGTTCAGGTAAGTAATTTTCAAGGCACAGTGGAGCACAAAAGGGAAAATGGTAGCTGTGTTCTTGTTTTGGAGGGGAGGGTAGTGGGGGAAATGACACCTTTGTTTTTAAATTCCCTTTGTCTTTATTCTAAAGTTCTCCAACTTTAAAGTTAACTTCTCTTTATGATTGGAGCAAAGACGCAAGCTAGAATCTACCCAGATCTTGCCAGTTACTTCTCAACTTGGCTTCAAACAGGTAATGTTTAATAAAACTCCATATGCTGTTGGGAGTTGGTGCCTAGTTGTGAACTTCTACACTGCTAAGGGATGCTCCCACCCAAAGTCAGTTTTAAAGGCTTCCTTAGCAGGAAAGCAGGACTCAAACATTTAGCTGTAGCGTGAGGGGATATGTTGTAGACCCAAATGGGGAGGGAGGTAGAGAGAGAAGAATGGATGTAAAAAGCAGGATTTACTGAGCAACAGACAAACTACTATAACTCAAAGGGGAGGAGGAAAAATGCACTTTCAATAGTTTGTCCATATTTTTAGCTACAAAGTACACTTGTATCTGATTTTTATTTTTTTTTTGAGTCGACTATTAAGAGGAACACCCATCCCATAAATGGCTAATCCTCCTTTTGACCTCCTTCTGTCTTTTCCACATTGGCTTGAGTCCGTTTTCAACTGCCATACTTAATTTTGAAAACTGCTACTTTTAATGATGTTTAGAAAGAAGAATCATTAACTATGACACTTTTTTTAAACAGGGTGGACTTAATTGAAGTGTGCAGTGTTGAACTACTGCTGCAGTAGCTGCCTCTAGTTGTTGAAATAAACTGTAGACAAGTTTTCTGTCAATTAATCCAGATAATCTGGATTCAGTAAAACATCTGTGAGAGTGTTCCTCCCATCTGGTATGAATGTGTGTGTGCATGTGTTCCATGAACAGACAGAAAACCAAATGTTCTAGGTACTTGTCATGTTTTATTGCATACTTTAAGTCGTGTGTATGTGAAGTGTCCTTTGACCAGAAGGTTTTGGTTAATATCAGTATATTTTTATAAATTTGAAATTCATCGTGCCCCATCTTTTTTCTTAAAACATTTTTCATTCTTAGGGTATATGTGCTAGATTTGAAACTTAACATTTTTAGGCACAGATGGAAAAAGTTATTGGCTCCTTGAAAACATATGGGACAAAATGGATCCTCAAAGCATGTGTGTACTTACAAACCAAGCTGTAGAGATCAAGAAAAGAACTTTATTGTTGATCTCAAGATTTCTAAATTGTCGAGATTTATATGGAGTTGTGGTGGAACTAGTTAACACTTAGAGCTTTTGGTATGTAATGACTATTTGCTATGGACTGATATTAAATGTTTCAAAGGATTGCGTTCTTAAACTTTCTGGATTTTTGTTACTCTCCTCGGATATTATTAAGTAGTTAAAATTTCTTTGCTATATTACATTAAAAACACAAGAACTTTGGGTCTCGTATTTATTTTCACTTGTTTTACTAATTATTTACAGAACACCGTTTTAACTTTTTTATTTTATAAATGTGTAGTATTTTAAACATATCTTTAAAAAATTGTTCAATTGGAACTACATTAACTTCTGATTTGTTTTTATTAGGATTTTTAAAAAGAAAAAACCAAAAACAACACTTTTTTCATGTTGGTGCACAGCACTTAAGAGAAATGTTTGTATTCTCTTTCAGTTCAATAAATAAATAACTGGAATGAATAGTTCTTAGTTTCCCTAACTTCACTTATATAACTGACTTGGGATGTTAACTTCTTGATCATTAATTATAGATTTCTTCCATATTCCTAGTATTTCACTTCCTCACTAGGAAAATTTAACCTGTGGCCGTTGAGCAGAAGATGAGTCAGCCCGTGCTGTGTGCAGGCTTGGCAGTGTCTGATGTCTGGCTCTAACCCACCCACCTCACACTTGTGTTTTCACTGGACATTTCACTGGGACACTTGCTCGTGTCCCAGTCTGTGCTCATCTCCCTTGTTGAACACCCGCTCCTTTGAGGCTCCATGACATCTGTGATTCCTTAATGCTGGAGCTTGCCTAAATACTGGATGCAGGTTGCTTTGGGTGATTGGAGGGTTGTGTGAGTTTTTTTGATACTTCATATTAAGAAGGTGCTCTTAAAGCACTTGCATCTTGTCCTTGTTCCCTCCAACTAACTCTGTGTTCTTGTCCCTCCTCCCTGTGCCTGAAAACAGAACCTCATCTTTATTCTGCACTTCCATTCAGCTGTAACTTATTTCTGTTAAATAAAAAGTTGTACCTCGATTTTCACGCCCTGTAGCTTTTCCAAATTCAAACCTTTTTCTGAAGTGCATTCAGTTTTTTGATTCTTTGCCCTTATGTATTGACTAGAAAAGATCTTTACTCCCTCTAGTAGCATCTTTTAATTAACTTTATTCTCTCCCTTACAGTTTAAGCAATGTGTACCCTGCCTCAGGCAGAGTTTGGATTTAAGCTAATTATGAAAGGCACATCTACTCTCAGGTTCTTTATGTAATTTCTTTTTGAAATTACAGTTTAATCAGGGCTTAAATGCAGCTGCCAACAGGAGGGGGCATGCCTTACTCCACTCCATGTCCTGCTTTGTGCCACTTCTCTTGGGTACTGGTATTTGCAGGATTGCAGACCCTCTTAAGCCATAAATGCCACAGATGAAGGAAGTTACTAAAAAACCCAGCCAAAAACTGTGCTTCATCTGCTGTCCTGTCTGCCTTTACCGGGTCAGATGACTTCAAGAGAAAGGGGGATATGAATTCTACAGACCTGTGACGTTTCAGTATTTGTAAGATTTAAAATTACTGCTGTGGTTTGGGTTCTTGTTTGGTTTTGGCTTTTTTAATCCTTCAGATTATCAAAAAGAAATTACATAAAGAACCTGAGAGTAGATGTGCCTTTCATAATTAGCTTAAATCCAAACTCTGCCTGAGGCAGGGTACTTATCCTACACTTTGGTTTATGCTTTCTGTGCTGCCTGATGTACCTCTCTGCACATTTTGCTCGTGCTTAGGCTGTCAACTCATCAGAGATGGCAATCCCAGTTGTGTCCTCACTTTAAAAGATCTGTAATGCTCTGAAGAGGATCCACTGAGGTTGTATGGCTCTAATGTTTCTGCCCAAGATAAGGGGGTGAATGTACTGATAACTTCATGCTGGATCACATATATAGCCCACGTTTTCCTGTCGCTACCTCCAGTGCCCATCATACCATGATACTTGGGAGGCAAAAATTGGTCTTTGAAGTTATACTTGGATACCTCAGTTCCAAAGGGAAATATAGTCTGGGGAGTGAATAGGAAGGGATCTGTGTTTGGTGTCACACCCATTTATGGGAATAGATGAATTTTTATTAAAAATTGGTCCAAAGTTTCTAATTGTCTTGAATTCTGTGTAATAAGATTTGATTTAAATTACCCTGTTATCCTGTGTGGGAGACCCAGAAAAGAGGGATTTTTTTTCATTTATTTTTACTACCGTAAAATTTCTGTGCTCTGTGGATCTCCCATGAGGGAGATGACTGAGAATCCCTATTTCTATCTAATGAACCACAGTTGTAGCAATTGCAAATATATTTTTGCTGTTGCTGACACTGAAGAACTCTGCTGAGGCAGGAAAGGACCCTGTACAATAAAGAAGGCTTTGAAATACCAGTGGAATTACTCAGCAGAATTGTAGTCTGTGAAGCCTGCTACCAAGGTTTTTGCAACTATTATAATCAGTTGGTAGATATAAATGAACAGAGAATTTATTTATTTTAAAAAATTGAGGTGGGAAGTTTGCATTCATATAAAACTAGAGATTGTTTAATATTTGAGACACCCCCCCCCCTTTAGAAAACTTCTCTATTTTTTTTGTTGGTCTGTCATGGTTAATAATTCACTCTTGAGAAGGGGGGAGGAATCCACAATTAACATCCCTCTAGGTCAGGGCATACACATGCTATCTACTTGCTCTTACCTCAAAATCATGTCTTTAGAGTAAGATGTACACCTGCTAGTTTAAGTGATGGACATACAGATTAGTGCTCACATCTCTCAGTGTGAAACATGAATGAAATATCTACTGGCAGTACTACAGCAAGGACCTGACTGCAGCAGCTTATCCACACTGCCCTTTCTTCTGACAGATAGCACCCAAAATGTGTGTAGTATGTTTTCCTCACACATGAATAAAATAATTTAATTGCCCGCCACATAAACTTCTACAAAAGTTACTTTCTACTGTTTAGGTTTTACTTGCTCTCCTTTTCCCAGACTGCCATCCTGTCTGGGTTTCAGCTTTACAAGGCAGTACTTTCTGTAGCTTGATTTCTGTGGTGTAAATTAGTCAGTGGCATACAGCTGGGGTAGCTGTTTCCTTAGTAATTTTTTAATGAGCATGATTTTCAGCAGGTTTTCATCTTTACAACAGCTGAACTTGGACTCCATCCATCATAAATTTAAAGCCAAACTTTTCCTATAACAAACACTGAACACAAGGTATCTACAGAAATCAAGCCTCAGAGTTGTTTTTTTTCATTGCTGGCCATGAAAACAACCCATTAATTACAGCTGTGCACTGAAAAAACAAGCACTTAAGAAGAAAAAGATCATAAATTTTAGGACATAATTACAGAAGTGTACTTTTAAAGTGTTTTAACTGATGTGTTTGTTTCAAGAGACTTATTTCCAAGCACATATAAAAAAATTTAAAGACAGTCATTGGACAGTGAGGGTACAAACTCAGATTTATACACTTATCACTGAGGCAAGAGCTGCACAAAAAAAACTGAGTTTGCTGGTATCATCGAAGCAGAGTCATATCAGAATTGGGATAAATGGTGTTATGGTTTACCAGACCATTTCCCTGAGCTAGACATACTCTTGGTTCACCTCACTGGATGTGGAAACCGCAGGTTCAGGGAGTAGCAACTGCAAAGAGTCTTTTGCTCTGTAACCAGCTCCAACCAGCAAGATGATATTTACTGTACGTGAAGGTCTGTGATGTACTTCAATAACAAGATAGGAGTTGAAAGGAAAAAGTGAGTATTAATCATGTTTCTTATTTATGTTTTTCACTCTTACACACAAGTGCCACTTCCACCAAAGGGATCTTAATCCATCCAAACACAAGAATTCACAAAGGTGGTTGGAGGGAGGGGTGAAAAGGGAGAAAAGCATAACTTTTATTCCATTATTTTCTACCTGGAAAAAACATTGACACAAAGATGCAAGCTGTGCTACTGTTCCACTTTGAAATCTGTGTTCAGGCACTGCTTCAAACTGGGCTCGAGTAGGACAGCTTGACAGCCAGAGGCACATCCTGACACCTTTCAGTAAAGTAGACACCAGAGCTGCATTTAAATTTGTTCTGGAACTCCTATCAATACCAGCCCATGCTGCTGAAATGAGTTTCCCTTCTCACCATTTAATTCCTACAAGGTCAGTTCTGTAAGCAAGGATTGCATCTTACTGAAACAGCAACTCCAGCAGTTTGGGTTGTAAAGGAACAAAAACAACTGCTACACAAATCCAATGTCTTTTGAAAATATTTTATGTTAAAAATACAGAAAAATATTTCTTGTTCAAAGAGGAAAAATATTCTGCATGACGACACTGATCTAGGTGTGTTCGGAAGGTGTCTGAGGCTCCACAACCAGTCACTGGAGTGATGACCCAATTTGGCAGCTAATGGTTCTTTTTCAACTTCTCAATCATTTATCAAAGCCAGAATCATACTGTGACAAAACAGAAAACATGATACCAGTGGATTACTGAAGCATGTGCAAGCAGGAACAGCTATTGCTGTCATGAGAGAGCTGCACTTGAGCCTGAAATAGAAAGTTAAGGCAACTGCTGTGTGCTTTGCCTATGAGGACATGAGCTGCAAAAGTAATATTGCTGCAGAGTAACAGAAGCTCTCCCATCTTGTAGTAAGTGGCCCCATCACAGAACTTATCTGTTTGTAACTCAGATCAACTTTATTTTTTTAAAACAGAACTTGTAAAATAAAGTTGGCCCTCAAGATTATTTCCATTCCAAATAGGCCACTTACTGTAAGGTGCTGTAAGCATGTAACTCTTTATATTGTACTTGTTGTGGTTTAGAGATTACGGAGTAGCCTGAGTTTCCAAATAGTGTCTGATCAGAAAGACTAAAGGTATATAATGAGCCCACAGAGAGGTGTCAAAATATATTACTGAGGCTTAGCAGGATGCAAAAGACAAGAATACCTGCAATTACACTGGAAGAATAGAGGAGATAAAAATACCTGGCAGACAATTCCTTTGTTCCTTGGGAGCAATTTTTGAAACTAACCTGTAAAGGTACATGAAGAAACAGAGCAGATGAAAGCCCAGTTTAATCATGGCTTCTTTCATGTGTGATTTCAGTTGTCCTCGGTTATGGATCTCTGTGGGATCAAATACTCCCATGTTTCCACTTGGCACCATAATGTACCTGAAAGTTTAAGAATAAAGAAAAAAACACCACACAACAAACCCCAAAAATGTAGTTATTGAAACATTAGGGAGTGTCAGGGAAAGGAGAGGGGGAGAGCTTGCCCAGAAGAGACTTCCATCTAAAGACTTTTTTCATCATCCAAGGTAAGGGAGTCCTTTTTTAATTCTATTTCAGTTTCAGGATATTGCATGTATCTCTGCCACTACAACCCACAAACAAGAATAGGAGGACAAGAAGTACTAAAAGCATCAGCCTGGCTTCCCATGTATAAACGGGAGAGAGTCCAGGTAATAGCCAGTTCATTTTAATCGCTGTTCACGGTTACTTGCTGTCATGGAGAAAACATCCACCCACAGTGTAAAGATGCATTAGATGAAAAGGACTGGAAAAGACTTAGCTAAGAATTAGTGATTTATTTAGAAAAAAAACTCACAAAGATAATCGCAAACTCTGGTTGCCAAAATGAGATGGTGTAAGACAAGGCAAAGGATCTGTGGCTTTGTCACAGCCATTCTGTCGTATCTCAGCACTGACACTGAGAGGATGAGAGGCTGGGCAGAACTGAAGAAGTTCTGCTGCCCAAACCCACGCAAGAACAAAAGTTGAGTGAAAGCAAGTGAAACATAAGGAAAGAAAGAATATAATTGGAAAATCCAATGTTTACGTCCTGGGAAAATTCAGCAAGCACCACGTTCATTTTGTCACAAGCATTTCTCAAGGGAAGTTCTCACTCCACCTGAGCTCAAGCTGGAGCAGAACTTTTCATTGAGATGTCACACAGTCTTTACCTTCCTGGATTAATACTCTTTCTATATGGGAATTTAATTCCTTATGGAGCCAAAAAACAAAGGTCTCAGAACAGAAGACTCTGATTTTCTTTATGTACTCAAGTGGCCACACTTGTACTCCAAAAGGCACTTCCCCACCTCTTACAACATTCATTTCTATAAGAGGAGGAGAAGAAAAGGAATAAGAAACAAAGATATTTTCTAGTGGCAGTACAAGACTGGGGAAAAAAAAAAGTTAAGATCACAGTATATGTCTTTCACACAGAGGTACTGAAAAGCACTGCAGCATATTTGACAAGTTTCAGAGACAGTTGTGTCCCACTACAAATAGTTCATGTGAACAAATTCCAGTTTGAAATTCTCTTCCAAATTTGAAGTTTTAAAGCACTGTTCTATTTTTAGTATTATAACAGAAATTACTGTCTGTTTACTGGGAATGGAATGCATTTAATTTGAATAAAATGAAGAACACAAATTTCCTGTACCAATTTATCCTAAAAATAGAGTGCATAATTTTCTTATGTGTCTAGGATATGAGTGCCACAAAGGCAGCACCTATTAATTTTGCTCTCTAGGAGAGCAATGGTAACAAATTTTGCAACTTAATTGCAGAACCTGTGAGGTATTTTTTCCTAGAGGCCCAGGGCTTATATTATATAGCTAAGGAAATGATGCTAATGCTGACAAACCCAATTCAGGGCAGTTGTCATACTCTAAACAGGAAAAAAAACTTCTACAGCAGACATGAAAACTGTCAGCTTTAATGGAAACACACACTACTGCCTTCAGGATTTCCATTCAGTGGAAGCTGCTGCCCCAGCAACAGGACACTTCCCTCTAAATTACACAATTTTTAAAGGGATGTAGAAGTTCTGGTCAAAATTTTGCCTGCATTTTTAAGAGTATTTTTTTATTTTATTTTTTCAGTTCTAAGATGAGTATTATCTACTCAAAGACATGGCAAGAATCATATTATTTGGACCTATTCTCTCAAGATTTATATAACAAAGCAGAAAGAAAAAATTTGAACACTTCTTTAAGAGTTTTAAAGCAAGGAGAATGCAAGACAAAACTGTCTCACTCAAGACACTACAAAATTCATCAAAAAAACCCCCAAATTAAATGATCATCTGAGTATGCTGAACAAGAAGGACCAGTAGGATGCTACAATAAACAAGTTGCAAAGTCTCCCTTGATGCTGTTTTTGACCGATTTATCCTTCCCAGGATTTATTTCTGATGCCCCTTTCACACAAAACCTCTCTCCTCCAACTGAAATCCTTGAGACATTTAGTAAATTAGGCAAGTACTGCCATTTACTCATTGAGATTAGGCAGATTTTGATGAGAAGTGAATGACAGGAAGAGATTATCCTACCTTTATCACTTTTACTACAAAGCACAGACTGCTTCAATCTCAACACAATTATTTTTATTTCTGTAGTCATTTTGGAATAGACAATAAACTTCAACTCTTCTGAATTTGTGTGCAGAAATACTGTAACACACCGAGAAGATGCAGAAACATCTAGCCAGATGTTTGGAGCTCATGCTAATGGGTTCACATTTCATCTGTTCCCACTCGAGCCGACTTTAACTGACACCTTCTCCTCTCTTCAGGGTATTCCAGCTACTTTACAATCCACCACTGTCTGACTACCATACCTCTCATCATTGAACACTGGGTCAAATGTATGTTCTATCCCAAATCTTCAGATTTCCTTTATAATCATAAAATGGTTTGGTTCAAGGGATCTTAATGATCACTTAGTTCCAACCCTGCTGCCATTGGCAAGGACAGCTTCCACTAAACCAAGCTGCTCAAAGCCCCACCAACCTGGCATTGAACACTTCAGGGATGGGACATCCACAACTTCTCTGGGCAACCTGTGCCAGTGCCTCACCACCCTCACAGAAAACAATTTCTTCCTTATATCTAACCTCAATTTCCCCTCTTTTAGTTTGAAGCTATTACTCCTTGTCCTATCACTGCAGTTCCTGATGAACTGGTAAGGCTAAACAACACACCTGCTTTGGCAGATCTCTAATTCCTTCATTATAGATGGGATAATCCAGGCTATTAGTGTGAGTGAAACTCCTCAATCCACAGAAGGCAGGCAAGATTAGTGATATAGGCTTAAGATTTTGATTTCTTGTGGCAGGACAGGCGAAGTATCATATTGTCAAATTCAGTTATTGCCTACACTGCACATCTACACTTGAGGAAACAATCCTGGATTTTAGGATGTACAGAATATTAATGACAAATATAAAATGAGAGCTGTCAATACAAAACAGCAGTCAAAGCTTATTGCATGAAGTGTGGAAACAGAAATAATTTATCTTTGAAAATTCACTCTTACAGGGTTTAGAAGGGAAAGCAAGGTGCTACTTTAAAAATTAACATAAATACACAAAATGAAGCAGCAACAGGGTAACCAGTAAAAGAAATCTTCAAAGCTTCAAAGAAAATCCGTTCTCTCTCCGTTGTCTCTGCACAAACAGCCTTGCCTAATGAAACATCAAACTCCAAAGCTGCCAGCAGATACCAGATTGAACACTGGTCACTTTGTGTAACAGTTGCATATATGGGTGGCTGAACAAAAACAAGCAAAAACATGCCCTGTGTGTGTGCATTTAGGCAACATTTGTTTATTAAGCACAAAGTTATACTGTCTTATGTTGCTCCAGCTTAGAAACTTTTGAAGGCTTTGCTGGCATTCCACAGGAAACAAGGGTGATGAATGCATGGCTATTTTGCCCATGAACAGCCAGGTTATCAGTACAGAGATACTCAACTTTGTTCTGATGGGAGCTGTGAAACTTCTTGTTTAATTTTACCAGTGACTCAACCCACCCCTGCAAATAGTTAACCCTAACAGGTTCAGGCAAACAATAATTACAGCCAACTTTTCCTACCTGTACCCTAAACTTTTTTATTCCCACAGTATAGTGTTTAGAGATAATTTCACACAAATTCACACCCAGTTTTCATTAGTTAAACACCTGCAAGGGTCAGTTCTCCAAACATCAGATGATACGAGATAAAAAGAATGTTTTTTGAACTCACAGTTCCAATGTTGCCACATGGAAATCCCTACTGATAACTAAACCATTGCCCAGGGGACAAAGACCAGTAACAATGACAGCTGTCCTAGGATGAAAAGTCTGCAAACCTTTCCAAATACGAAGAGGAGGGATGGGGGAACAAAACCAGTGCAAATGAGAATGAGAGACAAGCTGGTGAATGCAGGAGGGTGTGGGGGACAACACCCCAGCCCAGTGGTTTTACAACCATCAGCCTTGCTTACCTCAGCACTTTTATGCTGATATCACTATCACACACGTAGGCACACCATGAAAAACATTACCAACTCTGTCTGCAGTACTACTTCATAGTCCCAATTAATATGCTATTACTTCCTATGGACTTGGGAATGACCCACAAATCAAGATTCCTTGGCACGGGCGATAATGAAAGGAAAGGCCTGAAGTTTCTTATTCTTTACACTGTTGGGTTTCTTATAGTTTTAATGTCAAGAAGAGGTTTTATGTTAGTTTGATCAATGAAGACTAGTAGCAGCGCAAGAACACAACTGAAGCATCTCATCATGACATATTCTTTATCCTTGTACTACACTTAAAGCTAAACTAGTAACAGTGAGGGAAAAAAAAAATTAACCACACAACCCCCTGTGCACTTACCTATATATATTCCATGTTGCTACTGGCAAATTAAGGAGAAAGATGAACCAGTGCAATGAAATAAGCATTAATACTGTTACAACAGCATGGCCAATCACCTCAGGGACCACCCACTGTAAAAAGGGAAAAGAAAAGAGTTATATACACAGATGTAAATTCCTTTCTGAAACAGAGATCTATATGGAGTTATCATCTCATTCTAATCATGCAAAACTTAGAAACATTTGTGGCAGAGGCATGTGATTCCATCCAGAGTGTGGAGAAATTAATACCTTCAGGCAGATTCCAGGCAAGCAAGCCAGGAATCAAGCCCTAAGATATTATAACAGAAGTGCTTTATCCAAGTATTACAAGCACTTCCAGAGAGCATCACAGCAGCTGCTTGAACACAAATGTATTACACGAGCACTTAAAAAATCGAGTTTAAAAGTATACAGTGCTCATTTGAAATCACTGCAGAGAACAGTGGATTTAGGAATATAGATAATTAAAATCTGCACAGACACAGGATGTACAAACAGCCTCAGGCTTGGAACAGATAAAAAAGTTGATCAATATGAAAACTGGCATAGTTAAACTGAGTCAGCCCCTGGCAATTACACATTTTTGGCTTGATAGTAGCCTATACCTTTCTCTCTTACATTAGCAAAAAAATACCTTTAACTCCAAGTGAACACACCTGCATGGGAAGGCCACACTGATTTAATGCAAACAGTTTTAAGCAGATTTGTTTAAAATGGTACTTTTCCTTATCACAGTAAAACTGCTGTTCAAGACAGGTTAGAAATTACACAGAAGCATCAGAGAAAGTTGCTGTGAAGACCTCAGAATTCAGTCATGAGTAGACACCCTTGGTGTGGCCCACCAAGGAGAACCAAAGCATAGAACTCAAGAGCTCTGTGAAGCATTAACTCTCAGTCCCACCAGTTTAGGCAGCAGCCCATCCTGCAGCACCAGGGGTCAGAACAACAGAGAACAACAGCCTTTTGTGACTGAATTTCCTGAGAGATGGGCAGGTTGAAATAAAGGATGTATGCAAAACACTGCCAGCCAAGGCTCTCCAGGTATACATTACACCCCAGTTATTTGCGATGCCGAGATGAAGGATGTGGTTTCCCCAAACCACATTAAATGCAGCGAAGAACAATTTACTTTATTGAGCTTGGAGCAGCACGATCGAGCGTTGATGTAGTCACATTCCAAATCTGATAGTGTGATTATCTGAAGTCCGAGATAAGGAAACATTGTATGGTAACTGGGAATACAAAAAGATTTATTTTTAGCCTATAAACTGGGGAGAACCCTCTTGCTTTCACTGCAGACATCTTGTTCCATGTTCATCTGGCAAAGACATATTTCAATTAATTACAACTCAACTCCTATGTTAGACAGAAAGCTTGGCTACATTTTATCATCAGGCCAAGTGATTTTATTATATTTTCCCAAGGGCAACTGTTGCACAAATGCTAAAGTTCAGTTCAACCCTTACAACAAGCCAGGGAGGCAAAGTCAGTAATTTTAGTAACAGATTTATTAATACAACCCTTGAAGCCAGAACTTAAAAGTAACAAAAAATTAATGCACTTTTTAAACTCTCCTCGGAATAAAGCTAAATAGTGCAGTTTCAAGAAGTGAATCTACTTTTTTTTAACACTTACAGCAACGCTGGATTAATTAATACTTCATTAGGCAAGAAGAGAGTAACATCATTATTGAATGAACTTTCAGCAACTAAAATATGAATATTTTGGACAGAAAAGTCCTCTCAAAAAAGGCTCAGGATGCACGTGTGCACATCATCATGCTATGTCCTGTAAAGACATGGTCCTTTTCTCCAAGGAAATAATTAGAATTTTTTCTATTCCTAAAAATAAAGGTGAAAGCGTTTTATTTTTCAACAAATAGTCAATCTATCCTTCTAGGCTGATTTTTTTTTTTTTCCCAAGCGCTACTGCACATCTTTCTGTTAGAAGCGGGTAGACTCTGAAATAGCACCAGGACTGAAAGAGGTGTAAAAGCCAGTTCGCTTTTATGGAGGAACATAAAGAAATTTAAGTCAAATCTGTGCCTCTGCGTTGCAACAGCGCCAGGCAGCGAAGGCTGCGGGCGGGTGTCTAACAAAGAAGATGGAAATCCTGTTTGTCGAGGAACTCGGAGCCACACAGCCCGGCACCCACGCCTAAGACAGGGCAAGGCACCCTCGGAATTCGAACCCTGTTGCGCGGCCGCGCTTTTTTAGGCCCGTGCGGTTCCCGAGGGCCGGCGGCGGCCCCGGTCCCTGTGCTCCCACAGCTCCCTGTGCTCCCACAGCCCCCCGCCGCAGGAGCCCAATGTGCTCCGGGCACCGAATCCCGCGGCGCTTTCCCGCAGCCAGGCGCTCCCGGCTCCGCAGATCCCCCGCTTCGGGGGGCTTGCACCCCGGGCCCCCGAACCGCGGCCATGCCCCGGCGCAGCCCCCGCCGCCTGCACCGCCGCCCTCAGCCCGCTGGCCCCGGCCCGCCCCAGCGCCCCATCCCTGCCCGCCCCCAGAGGAGCAGGATACGAAGTAGACGGAGAGGAAGATGAGGGCGCAGCAGTCGATCAGCGAGAAGATGAAAACCACCGACTCCATCCCGCCGCCGCGCCCGCCAGCCCGGGGCCCTCCCGGCCGCCGTAGGACCCGCCCCGCCTGGGCGGGCCCGGCCGCGGGGCCCGCTGGGAAATGGAGTCCCCAGCTCGGGGGGCCATGAGGAGCCGGCCTGGCCGCGCCATCGACCCGCGGCTCAAGCAGCGCGTCAAGCAGGTACCACCCGCCTCACGAGCACACCCGGCAGCGGCCACGGCCACAGTGCTGGCGGCGGAGGGGGGGGGGGGGAACTCGCGTGTCCCACGCCCGCTGAGGGGCCTTGAGCATCCGGCCCGCTCAGGGGCTGGAGGGGACCAAAGCCTGGCCTTACCTCCCACAGGTCTTTAAATAGGCTTTAGAAATGTCTATTTGTTTGCTTGGTGGGTGTTTTGGTTTTTTGTTTGTTTGTTTTTTTAAATTTATTTTCTGGTTTTTTCGCTTTATTTTCGCGCATCTTTCTGTTCTCTTCGGTATTTCTGGTCCTGAAGGTGGCTGCTGCTTCAAGCGTGCAATGAGTAGTGCAAAAAAAAAAAAAATACACTCAGAGTGTATATAAATGTATAAATGTACCATATGTGTACATATATGTATAAATATGTACATATGTAGGTATATGTGCATATGTGTTGTGTGCATATATGTGTATATACGTGAAGTGTATATATGTATGTGTGTGTGTGTTTAGATATATATATTTGGGTATTAGTAGGAATTTCTTCACAGAATGGGTGATTAGACATTGGAATGGGCTGCCCGGGGAGGTGGTGGAGTCCCTGTCCCTGGAGGTGTTTAAGGAAAGACTGGATGTGCCACTTGATGCCATGGTCTATTTGGCATGATGGTGTTGGGTCACAGGTTGGTCTTGATGATCTCAGGGGTGTTTTCCCACCTATTTGATTCTGTGATTCCGTGATATGGGCAAGTTTTAAGTGTTTGCATTTGGAAACATGTAGAGCAATTATATCAAATAGCTGAATAAAAGGGGAAAATAAAATTATTTCCCTAGTACATGTGTGAAGAACAGGGAAAACAGTGATTCCTTCAAGTGGCACAGTGCTGTGTTACATGATAATCTCTGGTGACTTTGCAAGTTAAACACCATTTTTTTGAGCCTCTGTATTAGTGTACTCCACTTCTAATTCCTTAAAATGCAAGTGGCTGCTTGAGGAACTTGCTTGGTTTAATTTACAAGATCACAGTGACTGTGAGTATTCTGAAGCCTTTTTATGGTAGGGTTTATGATAGGCTTGATGTTTCCTGCAGGGCAATAGCTGATGTGAAGTTTACTGTAATTTTAAAAGATAACTCTGTATTCAATTTGATTGTTTTAAATAGAGTTATTAATTTAAATGAGATTTTGAAATTCTCCTCATTGTGACATCTGTGATACTATATCTTTTAGGGAGATTCTCTGTTTTCTTTCTCCTTTTTAAGAAGGAATTGTTCTTTACAGTATCAGAACTCCTTCTCAGTCCCAATTTGGAGAGCGGGAAAAGAGAGTGAATGGAATTTTGTACATTTTCTCACACTTTCATAATTGTGGTTTGAAAACGGATTGGAGTAGCTGCTGTAATAACAATAGAAAGGCTTGACAGAATTCACTTTTGTTAATACGCTTTCCTGTAGTATTCCTTTAAACATCTTGTAAAGAATTAAGTTCTCATTACAATAGTATTCATGCTGATTGATATAGATGGTTTCATTTTTAGGGTAAGAGATCTAAACCAAAAGGAGGTTAGCTGAGAGGAACCAAGAACTTTAGGATTGACAGTAGGATGCTGTGTGGGCTCCAAAGTCATCTTTCTTACTAAATAAAAGCATTGGAGTTGACCCAGCCCCAAAAGTCCCAAAATGAAGGATACTGCCCTTCCTGGGGAAACAGAGCTACCTGTTATCTGTAATTTAATAAGCATTTCCCATTTCCTTGGGAAATACTGTCTGGTGTGTTGCAAGGCAGTGAAAAGCTGTTTCTGATTTTCATTTTGACTTCCTAATAAGAGTAGAGATTGAAAAAAGGCATATGTGGTCTAGCTGTTCTGGTAAAGTGATTAACAAGAACTTTGTTCTCTGCTTAAAATTCTTCATTTCAGTATCTTGCAAGCAGTAAATGTGGGCAGTATGTTGACATTGGAGTTCTAGCATCTGATTTGCAGAAAACCTACAGGTGAGCCAAGATGTGTGTTCTTACATTCTGTATTTAAAATATTGGATTATTATTTTTTTACATTTGTGCGTTTTTAATTAAAAAAATTTAAATTTTGTTATGCTAACTTATTTGCCAGTTTTTGAGGTTGATTGAAACAGTAGGGTCATTTCCCCTTCAGTGTTTCCCTTTGCTGAAATATGTAGTAACACATATCTTATTAACGCACTGGGATTACAAGATCTACTTGTGGGTTGATTTTTTTGTTTGTTTGTTTTAAATAAACAGCCAAAGATGCATGGCAGCATGCTGCTCTTTACCCCAGTGAGCTTAAAATATGAGGGGAGAAAACTGTTCGGTACAGGACACAACAAGAAATTCTATCTTGTTCGGTTGCTCAGCAGGACAGTCAGTCTTGCCTAATTATTTTTAGGCCATTATACTTTTTAGGGTAGGGAGCAAGGTTGTGTTTCAGCACATCATTGGTGGGGATTAATGAAGATGGAGAAGTGTATTCACTCATGTTTGTGTGCTCTATTTTTATGTACCTTGTTAGATAAAATGAGCCAAACTCCCTTGGTTAATAGATTATGGGTCTTAGGGTTTTGTTTTGCCTCTGTGGCTGTTGTATTAAAGCAAGTTAGTAAAACACGCCTTCAATAAGGTAAAAGGTTGATGGGTTTTGTTTGCATTTAAGGATACTCTTGAATCAGAATTTCTCATAGTGACCATTATTAATTAACACAGTTATATCTTACTGGACTGTCCTTTCTAGATTGTGTTCCTGTGCCCATATGTTCACGTTTGCATTAAAATTAAAATATTGTTAATGTTGTGAAGTAGAATCCAGCGTGCTCATTTGTACATTGCTGCTTCTCTGTATCTACACTTAAAGAAGACCTTGATCATTTTTACTAAATATTCCCTTAGAGATCAGCTTAGTTTAGTAGTTTGTTTTCATCCCAGTAACTGAGATATTCCAGTCTTAAATAAAAATAATCACATTTTCACACAGTTGGTTTTTAATAAGAAGTTGTGTGGAAGCTTGGGTATTAACTTACCATGTATTTTTTCCACTGAGAATGACAATATGTGGGGGGGGGGGGAATCAGTTGGTGTAACCTGCTTATTTTGGTTTTCTTTTTCAGTGCAGAATATGGACGAAGAAAAAGAAACGCCTTTAGAATACAAGTTGCAAGAGGTAGTTCTGTTAGTGTTGTGCCCAAGATGCCAAATTCTTTGATTATGCTTTGGCTGTTTTCTTAAATGTTTGAACTTTTTCTTTCAGTGTTTGGAATAATCAGTAATGAAAAACAGCGTGAGGATTTAGCAGCTTTAGAAGCTGAACATGTGGCAAAAAGAGCGAGACAAGAGAAAAATGAGTAAGACGAGTTTTTACCAGTAGATTTATAATGCCTTTGGTGTTACCATTTCTTTAAAGCTTTCTGTCCTCATATTATTAAGTTTTGGTAGTTTCAAGGTTACAGGCAGATCCTTGATATTCCACAGGCTTGTCTTCTTCAAAAGGTACCGGTATTTATTGGAATCACTTCTGTCCCTGAAGACAAGCAGATACTGGAGCTAATCATGACTTCTCTGTTATGGGGAACATACAGCCCTGAATTAGTGGATACCTTGGGGCTTCTTGGATAGCTTTCCACACAAGGCCTCAGTTCCCATGTGATTCAGTTCCTTTGTTCTGTTTTGTTCTTAGTCTTTCTTGGGCGTGAGAGATATTGTCTGCATCTGAGAGATAAGACTACAATACAGGATGTTCTGAGTAAATCACCAGTGGGAATGAAATTGGAATTGAGATTTCCTGACTCCTAAACCTGTGCATAGTCTCATGGACTGTTCTGGTTTCCCTAACTTGTGGTAGATATTAAGGATCTTGTGGGAAATGAGAACAGTGTTGTCAGAAGGACTAGTCTAGTTCAGCAGGGATATGCTGCTACTTCCCTTGTGCCAGCACTGGTGATTGTGTGATCTCTTGGTGAACTGAGTCAGAGTGATCCTACATTGCCTTTTTTTAGGACTCTCTTTCAGCCAAGCTGACGACGAGTCTATCCAATTCATCACAGACTTAGAAAGGATGCATTTTTTAACTCTTAAAAGTAGAACATTGGAAATATGCAAGTCAGGAATTTCTCTCCAGCCTTAGGCTGCCTGTCATAGTTGTGGGGAGCCACATTGTTGAAATCACATTTGTTTTATTTTATGGATGTCTCACTTGCAGTTCTGCTCTGATAATCATGGAGTTTTTGTCTTCCTTCCATGTAAAGGACTATTGGAAGTACCACAGATGACTCTGATTATGATGATTATCCAGAAGATCTAGTAAGTTGTGTTTGATTATGTTTGTATTTGCATAATATATGATTCTATGTTGTGAAAGTGCACTTGGGGAATTTAAAAGTGGAGATAAGAGAGGAGGTATAGACAGAGTTGACAATTCCAACTGAGAATCTGTAGAGCTGAAAGGAGACTGAATTCTGAAGGAATAGAAAGAACTTGAGGTGGGGAATCACTTTTGAGGAAGGCACTCTGGAGGCCTGAAAGACTTAGCTAATGAGTGAAGTGATTAAAGGAACTGACATACCCAACGACTACGGAAAGAGGTACCTGCCAGTTAATTAACAGGGGTCATTTCAGGGTGAGTTGCAAAGGCTGCTGCCCCTTCAAGGAGCACAGGTTTTTTATATGCAGTCATTTGATTTGCAGAGGAGTGTGTTGGGAGATGCATGCCTCTTTTCTCCAGCAGGGATAATGCTGTGTTTATGAAACAATTTTTGTTGGCCTCTTACTATAAATAATCTGTCCCCTAAATTTTCTTTTCAAATGTGTGAATCTGCAGTCTACAAATCACATGAACAGTTCCCTGCTGAGCTTATATAAGAAAGGAAATCCCGATTCTGTTCCAAGCACTCCAAAAACTG